CTAGTGTTTGTTGACTGGACCTATTTGTTTGATGGCTGTATTTGGCTGCCCAATGCCTGATGATGGCGAGTAGAAACACAGCATTAAGATCGCAGACCAAATTTTTGGATAACAACCATGATGTTTTTTCGCTTTGTATTTTAATTCGGTCTTTCTTTAATTTGTTTCTCCTTATTTTTTTCTTTTAGTAGGTGTAGATTCAAAGATTCAAGATTCAAAGTGTTTATTGTCATGTGTACAGAAGAAATAGCATTTCTCTGTGCAATGAAATTCTTCCTTTGCTGTCCATACACAAATGCCAAGTTAGGTAGGGTTGAAGGAAAAAGATAAATAAGGATAAAAATAAGACAAGATATTAAGATAAATAAGGTAAAAATGAGGATAAAAATAGTGAAAGATAAATAAATAAGTACAAAAATAAGCAAATGAAGACAAGTGACGTATGCAGTTGTCAATGTAGGGACATCTTGTTGGGAAGCATGTTGGGTGAGGTTCTCTCCCCACACTTATACATGTGAATGGAAGGGGTTGGGACACAAGAAAATGCAGTGAGACACATCTGACAAGGACTTAGTGGCACCCCTAGGCACTGTAGTTTGCCTCCCAGATAGTTGTATAGATTTATTTATTGGAGCTGATATTTTATTTAATCTATTTACTTTTTAAAATAAATAAATCTATTATAGAATAATATCTAATATCTTTTTTTGGTTTTAACTTGTTTATTTATTTATTTGCAGCTCCAGGCTTGTTTTTAACTTATTGTCAGATAAAGAATTGAAAGTAACGTGTTACACCTGCTCCCTGCCTGTGAGCTTTTACTACCAACTGATTATGTAACAAAGTCATTAGATTAATAATTCCTGAGGTGCAATTCCTCAAGTGGCATCGTTGGTTCTCTTTCTTCTCTTTTTACTGCCCTGGCCACATACTGAATCCCGGAGTATACTTAGTTTTTCACACAATGTATCAGAATTTTAACTTAGCTTTTGTTTCATAATGACATGGTGTACTACATCCTGTCATGAGATTTTGTTTTAATAACTTCAGAATCTGGTATGGCCCATATTTCTCATTTTTGACTATGTTCTGATATGTGAAACCCCAAGTTAAGAGGGTGTGCTTTCTTTTTAACTACATTGCAGTGATGCAGCTACATAGAAACACCCATGATGAGTAACACACGTTTGTAATGTGATACAGCAGCCGTGATATCTCGATGGATTCCTAACATTTAAGTATCGTGAGCTATCAGAATGCTTGCCATAGTGTTTGTGTCCACCCATCCACAAATCATTGAAACAGAAGTAGTAAGTAAGCCTCTTTGTATATGTAGAAGAGTAATAGATGTGAAGAGGAATGATGCAGATTACCATTCACAAACAACTTTATTTAAAGAAGCCTTAGCCTTATATAAAAGTTGTATACCATCTCTGGGGAAAAGATTGAGTCTGATGTGTTTCTGTATAGTTCAATTTTCTTAGGCTATTCAAATCCTTACATTGCTTGTTGACATGTCTTGTTGAGATCTAATTAATGATCCTTATCCCTAATCATCAATAAGTAACAATTGTTGACAATTAACTCTGCTCTAGTTGTTTAAGAGCACCACAAGCCTGGTGGCAGTTCTTGTAATCAAGATTAGTTAATCAGTTCAGGTCTATTGGAAGTAAATCTTGGAGGCCTCCGTGTGTGTCCGAAGTAAAATAGGGCCTGAATAACTGCCCTATTGCTGTAGATCTTCACGATTAGTGTTAGAAATTACTCACAGACTGCATTACATTCTGCACTCTGACAAACACTGTGTGTGTGACTGTGCACACGACCCTCTCGCCAACGAATACCACAAGTATGCAAGAAAAAGCCATTTTCTTCTCTAAAAACAAGTAAGGATTGTGAACCTAATAATGGAACTTTAATGTCACTGTTTATAAGACTTTTAGCACTCTCGCCTCATTTGACTTACCAGAGAACTTAGCCTTCAATCTTACACCAGCAGTTTCTTTTTGTGCTTTAGCAAAACCTTTAAGAAAGAATAAAAATATATAACCCACACTAAAATATGACATATTGGCCATGTACATATCCCAAACACACACTTTTCCAATGAGAAGTGTTTCCACTTTTAAAGAATGGTGATTTTGCATTCTTGTAGACACATTTATGCAAATTGTTCTTCAAATAACATTCTTTCTCCTCCATTGCCCACAATCTTCTGTTTACATTTTGGCATTAGATTCTTTTTCAGGATAATGTTCACCGTTCAATGAAGAGATCGGATGAGATGGCTGCAGCTTTCCACCTCATCCAGATTGAACATCTGATGCCCCATTAAGGCTACGT